CTGTATTCGAAAAAGGATTGCAAATGCTGCTGCGTCCGCTCTTATTGTTTCCTTTGTTGGGCAACACGTGCAATGGCGCTTGGGAAGCATGCATACCTACATGCATCGAGAATGTTGCTGCCTGCTGCTCTTTGTATTCCAAGTGCTTTATTCCAATTATCAATTTGAATTCGATATACGCTTTAAGTGCTGCTTCACTGCCACCTGGGCAGGTGAATGGGCGTTTGAGAATCAGGTGCAGATTACAGTCGAACATTCCCAGCGTCGCCAGCAGCTGCCGAGCATTTAAAGCGAGGCACTAAACGATGCCTTTATGGCTCAATAAGTTCAACGTGCACGAACTGGATGTGAGAATACTTGATTTCAAATTGCATCGCATTTTATTATTGCTTGATTTTTTGGTTTATTGCGTAGTAAACGCATAAAATCCAGATGCCACTCGCAGTGAAAAAAGTATTGCTCAATTTGTTGAATCCATAGAATAATATACCTAAGCCAAATCCACAATAAATTCCCATAATACTTCAGCTAAGCTTCTAAATGATTTTTTGATCTGCATACAATTCAACCCAACTCCCCACATGCTTCATTTATGATATGCATGCCATTTATGTTATGCATACACCACTTCATATTTCGTCTATATTTAACATTTCATTCATATTTATGCTCATCATAAACCCGTTCTTAATTCACTATCTACATGGCATTCACGTAGCTTCCAACAGCTGTCCAATTTATCACCTCGTTCCGGGCTATAACATAATCTTCAGGTTGCAGCCTCTATCACATTTCAGCCAATTGTGTTCAAGAGCAGAAGCCACACACATCGCCGTACCTTATATAATTTTTTTACAACTTTTGTGGCGCGAACTGCGTGCGAAAAGTTTCCCAGACACAATAAGGGGAAAAGACCCACAAAGCACTTCGCACTCGCAGTGCCCCAGTGGTCGAGTGGCCACGCTCCCAGTTACTTTTATTCCGGTATTCAAGTGCAATTAGCAGTCTGCTAATTAGTCTAAACGTACCGAGCACTGTGGAACGTGGACCACGCCTTCGGCTACGTGAGGCACACAACTTGACACCGGACTTGGCGACTCAATGTGCGCTGTCTCGTAATTTTTACTTCACGCGGTGCAGTCATAATAAAATTATGAAGCCAACGTGCGCCAATTTTGTATTGCGGCCAGTGGAAGTGGAGAGGTAGCTGACCGCGGGGCACAGACGCAGCAGACGTTCCTTGAAACCACTCAGACAGAGCTTCCTGAATATGGACGTGCACGTGGATGTGAACGTGGTCGTGGCTGTGTCCTGTGTCCTGTGTCCTGTGCGCAACTTTACTAATTGAGTTACATGCGGCTGTTTGGCGACTGCAGTCGCATTTAATTGCATTTCAGAGCTGTCCTTATTGCATTTCCCTGACAAAGGCGTATCGAGCCCATCAGCGAATGAAAACCCTCACGCCACACGCATGCGACCCATAGCTGCATAATTTATGTTGAAGGAACTAAAGTAGGTTTTGCCACTTGGCCAGCAACTTTGGCCAAAAGTTTTTTAAACTTTTGTTTTTTGCTTAATGACTGCAGTGCCAAGACATTAAACGCTTGTTGGCCGCATTAGCTTTCCGTACTTCCAGCAATTGAGTCTAATGCAGTTGGCAACACCAAGTTGCCAGCGTTGCCAAGCGGATTAAAGCCAGCCATTCCAATTTTAAAGCGATTTGCAACACTAGCTAACTGAGACGTGACTTGGCCAGCGCTGTGCATGCCCAAATAAGTAGGCAACACATTGTGCTGTCATCGCAACTCGACGATTATCAGAAAATAATGCCAAGTGAATAAATAATACAGAGTCGGAATCATGTTAAGCGAATGAATGTAAAGAAAAAATTCATATTTGTATATTCATCAATCACAAATCGTGCACCATTTTGTGGGATTTAGAAAAAGCGCTTAATTTATGAAATGTAATCATGATTTTAGACATATGGCTTCATTGAACATGAGCTCTATTTCTCAGCATTCATTCGGAAAATTATACTTGGAGTGGAACATCAGGGAGAAGGATGTGTGTACCTTATCTACAACCGCTGTAAGAGCTATCCACTACTATCGCTCCAGTTGGCTCTGAACTCTCCTTAGTTGATTCTCTCTACATTTATGCTCTAATTATACTACACGTAGACGGTATACCGTCGCGTGGTACAAATTGAGTGCCCACCACCTATCGCTAACTGTATTCCGCTTTGCATTTGCCATTTTCCCAGCTTGTCATCCACATCGCTGACTCTCTGCTTCCCGATCCGACCACCCACATCCACAAATGCAACTGTTAAGTGCCTGGCACTTTACGGCTAACGAATTATAAAAGAGAACGTACTGCGAATACAAAGCACAAAACTCATTTTTATTTTTATTTTTTTGTACTTCATTCGCTTGTTCTTGTTATTATTATTATTATTTTACGCGCAAAAAGAGAAAAAACAATGAAACAGCAACCAAAATATAAAAACAGTTAGGGCTTAACGAACGTTAAATACACTTACAAATTACAGTCAGAGGCATAAGTTACTGTAAAAATATATTACACAAGAAAAGAAGCCAGAGAACCACATCTTCAATTTACTACGACTTGTGATAAACTAAAAAAAAAAATATAGAAAAATATTTCCATTGGCTTTTTTTCTTGCTTTTACAACTAGGTAGGAGGGGTACTTAACCAAAAACAATGTAGTGAAGAAAGTGGAATATTATTGCAACAGTTAAAACGCGCGCGCACACACACAGACACGTAGCCTCTTGAACACGTTGCAAAGTAACAAAAAACACGCGCGAGTTAAATTTTGAGTATGTGCAACTCATGGATGATTGTGTGTGGCTGTGTGTGTGTGTTCACATTAGTGTTCTGGCTTGTTAGGCAGCCAAACAGGAAGTGACACACACTCATACACTCTTTTGCACACGCTCACAAACACAGCAAACGCTTGACTTCAAGTGCTCGCCTCCGTCCGCCATTTTGCTTTTGGCTTTACAAAATGTTTTCATTTTTTTCGCCCTTTTCTTGCTTTGTTTTGGGCATAAAATAGCGTTTATGCTTTGCTGGTTTCTCCGCACAACAATAACGAAATGCAGGTGCGCAGAAAAAGAAACAAAAGCTGTAGCTCCTGGCAGTGTTGGTTAACGTCAAGCTGACACTCGCTTCACGGCTCTGCTGCTTCGTTCGCTTGTGCTTATTTCATTTTTTTTGTTTTTGTGTTACTCTCAAACCACATTAAAGTGTCAATATGCATGGTTGACTGTTTGCTGAGTCCTGCAACGTATTTGCCAGCTGAGATAATTGGCAATCAGAGATGAGAATGGAGGCCATTAAACTGCCTTTAGCTTTCAATTTAGGGTCAGGTATTCGAAGCCCTCATTAGCATTGGATGACCCCTAGCCACAGCTGAACGCGTGGACACATTCCTGTTACAATAAAACACCAGGAATGAGACGGCGTCAAGCAGACAGTAGACACTAATGGACTCATTTCGCAGTGGCCAGAAAATGTGGTAATCCATGGTCTGGACAAAAGACATAACGAGAGGCAGAAAGCAACAGAGAGAGAAAGTGGGACGCAGGGAATTTAATTGATCCATACTTTTTTAGTAACCATACGTTAATCTAATAAATTATATTACACTCAAAATCGACTTGTTATACCTGTATTATTTTAATATGTAAAATGCGTTACCAGGCGTATAAACGTAATTATATGCTATTTGACGCGTAGTTCAAATCGACTCAGCTTCATTTATAGTAAATTTTAATTAATAATAATAATAAAAATAATAATAATAATAAAAATAATAATAATAATAATAATAATAATAATAATAATTAATAATAGTAACCAACAAATTTCTGAAAAACATCCAGACACGATTTAATTATTTATTACAAACATTGTCAGGAAATCTTCGTCTGTTAAATATTGTGAACACTCCAGCTCACTCTCTTATGCTTCTCTGTCAACAAGTCCCTTTCAGTACTTGATATTTCACAACGAAATAGTATTTTCAGTTAGATTTCATTTAATAGAGTCTTTGCTTTTTACATTTTATTAGTTTGTTTAAATAAAACACTTTAAGGTAAATGTCTTACTCACTTTTCTTTGAAATATTACTTATTTAGAATTCATACCTAATGGCCTTTTCTCTGTCTTTATTATGTAAATTAAATGCATGTCAAATTCCTACACACACTGTTAAATGAAAGCATTAATGCAAACATCAAATTTAAACGGTAATTAAATTGTATTTATGTAATAACTGAAATACAATACATTTGACTGAAATACAATACATTTTACATATATACCTGAACAGAAATTAGGCAACAAAATTACATTTACAAAGGCTCTTTTATTATTATTAATTCTTATCTGTGTTTGCTACCAAAGTTTAAGAGTGTTTCGTCGTAAGCGCATTGATTATTTCGCTTAAGCTTTAAAAATGTTTTTTGGCCATTTCTGTGGCTGGCTTTACCTCTTGTCGATGCTAAACAAATAGCAATAAAAGCCGAAAAATAATAAGGTTTACTGCTGCCTGCGGTCGAATGAGCGTGGGGGGTACAGAACAGGTGGTGCCAGTGGGTGGGTGGGTGTTTGAACTTTATGTGGATACCTCGTCAGCTCGCTTGAGTGCCCTTTTGGCGTTTATTGTGGCTGGAGCAACCAAAAACTTTGGCACTAAACAGAAATTACCCATACGCTGTGGGTGCCGTTGATTGGCACAGTGGCTGTGGTTAGCTGGAGCAGAGACTAGACAGAGGCAGAGTAAGGGGAGAGATGAAGAAGATGCTGTACCATGCTTACCCTTTCATAAGCTCATAAATCTGCTACTTGCGTAGCATAAATTTGCCGTCATGTGAGAGCTGCATTTTGTGGCTGGCCTGTTGGTTTTCAGCTCACTTTAAAATACGTTCGCAACTAATAAAACATCTGCACTCTACTATTAATTGCAGCTCCGTGTCGTCTGGCTGGTACGAGATGGCCAAGGAACCGCAGATGAACCCTCAAACGCTGCTTGCGGCCTTACTGGCCATTAGCGCAGCCCTCTCGCTGGGCAGTGCTGAGAGCTCATCAAGCTGTGGACCCAACTTTCCGGTTGCCTGCTCCTGCGGCAATGAGATGTACGAGAGTGCCGTTCAGTTCATTGTGAACTGCACCAATGCGGGCTTGCACAATACCAGCGTTCTGGAGTACATGCCGGAGCAGGTCGAGATACTCATCTTTACGGGAAACTATATAACGGAGCTGCCATGGAACGTCTTTGGCAGCATCAATGACTACAAACAGCTAAAGATCGTGGACATGAGCAGCAATCATATACGCGAGATTCGTGGCAAGAGTTATCATCATGTGCCACGCGTTGAACGCCTCATCCTGAACCACAACAATTTGAGCATTTCCCGTTACGACGACGAGGTGAATCATCATCATCCGCGCGTCTTCTCTAACTTTGTCAATCTGCAAAGCCTTCATCTGACCGACGCCTTCGAAGACCACAGCTCGCCGCAACTGAGCGAAGATCTGCACGATATTTTCGTCAACAGCCAGCTGGTGAAGCTGGAGAAGCTGCATCTGGAGCAGAACGAGATAACGCACTTCAAGGATCGCAACGTGTTTTGTGATCTGCCCGCACTACGCGATCTGCATTTGGGCGACAATCTACTGAAGGACATTAATTTTGAGGTGCGTTGTCTAAGCAACCTTCGTTTTCTGGATCTTGAGCGGAACAAGTTTGAGTTTGTCAAACCCAGCGATATGCGCCTGCTTAACGAACTGCAGGAGCGCGAGAATCGCAGCGTCAATCTGATCGTCGACTTTAATCTGAATCCCTTTGTCTGCGATTGCAAAATATCACCTTTCCGCACGTGGCTGCAGGCGACGCGAGTTCAAGTGCGCAATCAGGATAGCCTCATGTGCTTCCATGGCCTGCAACATGTTGATCCGGCGCCGGCGCACATCCTTCAACTGGACATGGGCGAGTGTGCAGCCACAATGGCAGCGGCTGCCTCGTTTCTGAATATCGCCGAAAATGAGCAGCTGTACGGCCAACTACAGCCACATATTAGTGGGCACACGGCCACACTGATCTTTCTGCTGATTGTGCTTAGCATGATACTGTTGGGTCTGCTGGTGGCCCTCGTCTATGTCAGCCGCGACAAATTGAAATACATGATGACTCCGGTGTTCGACAACGTGGCCAAGAAAGTGCAGTATACATCGATCAAGGATGAGGATTGCCCGGAGGTTCATGTCTAAGCACAACTGCAAATCCCACCCACACGTCCATATCAAACAGTAGCAACAGAACTAAGTAAAGTTTCGTTTGATTACCATTTTATTTTTATTTTGCCATTCGCATAGCGCAAATGTGTGCCATTCACAGGGAACGACGTCTAAGAAAGTAAAATGTATGCAACCAGCCCAAATCTTTTGAAGAAACCCTATTCAGTTAACTGTATTTAAAAGCAAAATAAACACTCACAAACCTATTGTTTGATAGTACATAAGTGAATTGTTGCATTTAAGATAATAGAAGATCAACTAAAATGTGGCAAAGTTGGTTGATTACACGCAATTACAGCAATAATGTTAGCGATTGTCTAAGTAGCATTAAGCCTTAACTGTTATGCGTTCTTTGATTTCAATGGCCTGACAGCTAATAATATTTCAAATCCCCAAACATACGAATATAGTAAAAACGTACTTACCCTACATATACATACATGCATACACATACATACATATATATTGTAACAAACACGTTAGTGTAATCTGTGATTTAAGTTTAGTAGCTTTACTTTGTTAAAACTCAAACGAACGAAAATTGATGCATATTAAAACTTCAACTTGTATAACATACATATGACGTACTTAAAAACATATACATACATACATTATATATTATATTACTTACACTTATGTTTAAACTACCTATAAATGTTATTAATCATTTAAATCGTACTTTGAATTGATTTGCACTTTACTTTTTCTGTAATTAACACACAGTTTTTATAAATAAACTTTAAAAATTATACCGGTTTGTTTTTCTTTTGAATTCAGCATTTTTCGCCAGTCCCTCATTTGGGACTTGAAAGCGGTGCAGCCAAACTCTTCCAAGAAGTTGATTACATGCGAATTTGTTTGCTAGCGGAACATAATTAACATAAATTATGGAATATAGGTGATCAAAGCAATGGAATTGCACATTGTCATATTAATATATATATATATATATATATGTATAAGGAACCCATGAATAATCAGACATTCTGTTAAATAAATAGAAATATGTATTTAATTTTATGCATGCTTCAAAGTAAATACACCTATCAAATTTCCATTTTTCTATAGAATTAAAAGGCATTGCATATTTTCTTTTTTAAACAGGGAAATTGCGCGCATTTTGATTGAAACGTGCATCCCTGGTAACAGTGTTGGAAAACATGTGATAACAGCTGTTTGAGCGCTTTTAGCCTCAAGCGCGTTAAATTTTACACAGATAAGCCGATTATGTTTTTGCAATATTCTTAATTGACAATAAAGATAATCATTTGTGTGTTTTAGTCTCCTCCATTTATCTACACCATCATCATCATCAGTGTACTTTACATGAGATCGGCTGGCTGTTGGTTGATGTATGTATATGTGTGTATGAGTATGAATATCAGTATATAAACAATTTAGTCTTTCTTTTTACGTCGTTCGAATTTTGCTTGTGTGCTGTGTTCCTTATTTGCATTATGCAATGTCACATAGTTGTAAATTAAAATCAAAGTGTTAATAAATTATTGTTTCGTTGAAAGTAATTTTGCATTTATATATTTAGAGTAGACCACACTCACACACACACCCAAAGTAGATATGAACATTAACACTTAAACATTTTTATAACTGGAAATTTTCGCTAAATTGTCTCCATTCCAGATGCTCAAGAACTGTCGACGTGTGTGTGCTTTGTCTCGTCACACTGTATGTTTGAATTCTTTCAGCCAGCGGCTAAGACACATCCACAAAGTGCGCCCAGTGGCCAACAACAGCATGGACAAATTTGATTTGCCCAAGCGCCTTCAAGGCAGCACGCCCAGTGTATGGAATGAATATATTGCGTTAGCCATGCAATATAAACCATTGAATCTGGGCCAGGGATTTCCTGATGATGCAGCCCCGGAATATGTCACTAACGCACTGGCGGACATTGCCAAGGATGAGAATCCGTTGCTACATCAGTACACTAGAGGAAATGTATGTGCTTTAATTTCTTCTAATATCTTTCTAATGAGTAAAATTTATTTTAGGGTCATGTACGCTTAGTAAATGCACTGTCTAAACTCTATAGCGGTCTCGTTGGTAAAGACCTAAATCCACTTAGCGATATATTGATTACTTCCGGCGCCTATGAGGCACTCTACTCCACCATAATGGGACATGTGGACGAGGGTGAAGAGGTCATTATTATTGAACCCTTCTTCGACTGTTATGAGCCCATGGTCAAAATGGCCAGAGGCGTTCCTCGGTTCATTCCACTTAAATTGGTAAATTAAAGTTAAAAAATAGTTTTAGCAATCTTTAATATTATGATTTCTTTAGCGTAAAAAAGACGGTCCGATCAGCTCCGCCGACTGGGTGTTAAATGACCTTGAATTGGAGAAACTGTTCAATGAGAAAACAAAGATGATCATATTGAACACTCCTCATAATCCCACCGGAAAGGTCTTCCATCGCCAAGAACTGGAGCGCATAGCGGCATTGTGTCGCAAGTGGAACGTGCTCTGCGTTTCGGATGAGGTATATGAATGGCTTGTCTTTGATGGTGTCGAACACGTGCGCATTTGCACTTTGCCTGGAATGTGGGATCGCACGATTACAATAGGCTCGGCAGGTAAAACCTTTTCGGTAACTGGCTGGAAAATTGGTTGGGCCTATGGACCTCATCGCCTGATTAGAAACTTGCAAATGGTCCATCAAAACTCAGTTTACACATGCCCGACACCACTGCAAGAAGGCGTAGCGCGCAGCTTTGAGGTGGAATTGGCTCGTATGGGAAAGCCAGAAAGCTATTTTCTTACCTTGCCGCGCGAACTGCAGCCCAAAAGAGATTTTATGGCAAAGTTTCTAAGTGATGCGGGCATGCGCCCCACAATACCAGAGGGTGGTTACTTCATGTTGGCCGATTGGTCGCCGCTGGCACCGAAGCTCGACTTAAGTTCAGAGCTGGACAAGCATCGTGACTATAAATTCACTAAGTGGATGACAAAGAATATGGGTCTGCAGGGCATACCTCCTAGCGCTTTTTATAGCGAGCCTAATAAACATTTGGCAGAGGACTTTGTGCGATATTGCTTTATAAAAAAGCAAGGAAATCTAGACAAGGCAGCTGAATTGCTCAAAATTTGGAGTTAAACTTTGTTTGTAGTAAAACTATGCATTTACTTATGTCAATAAACGAATTTGTTTTGAAAGAGTCGATTAATCGTTCATGCATGTTTGAACGTGTACGCAAGTCATAACCTGCCCATGGTCATTACATAACAAAAAGGAAACCAAATGTTTGGGGTGGTAGCCTTACTCCAATCTCCTTTTATTTGCAATCCAATAACATGTTCATCCGCACGAAATACATTGGAATTGTGTGTGTGTTTCTTGTTATGTGTTAATTAAACTAAAGGAAAACGTTTAAACAAACGCCGCCTTACATATCAAAAACGGATTTGAGAGCCAATTCGGGCTTGTCGTAGCCCAGCTCCTCGATGGTCGGCACGCCAAGCTCCTTCAAGGTTGGTGTGATTTTCTCTAGCAAGTAGGGATAGAGGGTAGCCTGCTGGTCGCCACATTTGTCCTTGCAACCCTCCAGCCACCTAATAGCTAGGGCGATGTCGTTGACACGGCGGCAGGCGCGCAGTCCAGATTCAATAATTTTTGGGCTGGGCACCAAATCCATGCCAAGCAGGTCGTTCATGCCTTTACGTACCTCCCATCCGTCAATGCCTTCACGAGCGAAATACTTTTCGTAACGCTTATCGAACTCTTCAGCCGACTCCTCAGTTCCGTGCAGGCAGCGTACGGCGACAACACGGGTGGATGTAACTCCAAGGCTGCCGCGCATGGCGGTAGCGAGTTTACCGGCAGTAGTGCGCAACATGGCTGTCAAACGAAAATCAATTAAATAATTTAATTTTCCAAAAATTTGGTTAAGTAACAGCTTCGACTCACTTTAACACTCTTGCTCTTGCTATTTTTTCACACAGATGACAGAACTGCTAGTGTTGAACAGAATAGTCAAGAAATATCGAATAAACGTTTCGGATTTGCTTGTGTTATCGACACAGTGCTGTGTAATGCATTAGCTGTCAGACTATTGGACGAACGTTCTCGAACACTGTGTGACTTACTGAGTAGTCATTCTCATTTTGTGCCCGACAATTCGGTTGAAAATCGCATTTTCTTCTGAAAATAGACTTGCGAGCAGTGACCGCGGCTTAATAAATTAACATATAGCCAACTCAACAACAATAAAATGTCGACAGCAGGGTAAGTGCAGTAAAAGGATTCGCACACCGTCCAAATTTAGTCGGCTGAGTTCGAAATTTCTTCTTTTTGTGGCTTCTTTGTGCGACGCGTGCTTTTTGCTGCAGCAGGGGCATCGGCGGCGTCTATTTTCTGTAAAGAGCATAGCCAAGTAAATTTTGCTTTGTGATAGATGCAAAATATCCCATACGCATTTGATGTATTTGCTGCCCCCAGTGTCATTCGGTGGGTGTGTCCAATGCGCAACTGCATTGTAGTATTTTTGGACAGTTCGCAGTACATTACATTTGAGGTTATGTTTGGGTTGGCGCTAATTTTGTATCTGAGTTTCCCCAATGGTCAAACTCTTACAGCATGGACTTTTATTTCATGCAAATGAAATAATGAGTTGTATAAGCTTGCACTTTGGAACCGCTTCTGGAAAGAACGATATCTGGGTTGCCATGCTACGATAAATACAATACGCGTATCCAAGCCGTGTTCCAGTTCCTTGTTTGTTTATTTAAGCAACTCATTTGGGTTTCATTACAGTTCGATTCCGCCACCAGTTTCGTGGGCTCAGCGCAACGATTTGATTTACGTTATCATCGATGTGGAATGCAAAGACATTGAACACAAGTAAGCCTCAATCACTCGCTTGATAAATAAAATACGTTTACGTTTGATCTCGTTCACGAAATGCAGAGTGACAGACAAGAGCTTCACTTTCAAGGGTGTGAATGCGCTTGATGCCTCCAAAAAGTACGATGTCACATTGAACTTTTACAATTCGGTTGATCCGGAGAAAGTGACAAGCAAGAATATTGGACGTTGTTTGGAGTTCACAATACCCAAGAAGGAGAACGGTCCCTACTGGCCAACACTGACCACAGATAAGACCAAATTGCACTTCTTAAAAGCCAATTTTGCCAAGTGGCGTGACGAGTCTGACGAAGAGGAGGGTGGTAAGTATTAAAAACTTGGAAGTTTGAGGTTGAAATTTAACATACGTGTTTTAGATCCTAAGGACAGTGGAATGTTTAACAACTTCCTCAATAGTCCGGGAGGCGACTGGAACAACAAGTTTGATGATTTCAATGTCGACGAGGATGACGATTCCGACGACAACATACCCAGCCTGTCGCAAAATGATGATGAGGATGAGGGTGGGGAGGGTGACAAAGACAAGAAGCCGGCTGCCTAAGCAGCTTGCTGTACGGGCATTTTTGAAGTAATAGAGTCGTAGCGTTAGCCGAGACCCCTATACCGTTAAGTCACACACACATACACATCTACACACACACGAACACGATCATACGTTCATTAATACTTATTCCGAAAACAAAACTAGAGCAGAATATGCGACATGATAGCAGAAACAAAGGAGGAAAAATTGAACAAAGGATGCATTAATTTAACGCTGGATTTTCGCCCTTATAACTACAACCGGAAAAAAGCTACAACCAATTCATTGCGAAGTTTCATTTGCAATTTATTAATTTTCGTTTCCTGTAAATAAAGGGAATTAAAATAAAATATTAAAAATCAAAAGGTCAAATTTGTATCTTTCTATTTGATGTCACACACACACACACACACATGCACAAATTGAATTGCGATCATTAAAAACACAAATGGGTGGCAACTCTAGCAACACAGTTGCTTTGGCAACGCCGGGTTTCAAATTTTGTTTGCCCTAACAAAGTATGCTTGGTGAAAAAAGGCATTCCTCTGCTGCTGTCAGTATCAGTAAGTACAGATTGTGTATGAATTGTTATTATACAAAGTAAGTATACAATGGCACAGAATGGCAGGCTCTCGTTTATAGCCGAATGGTTTCATGTTGAAGCCGGAATAACACGCAGTTACCTATTAACATATCATTTAAACGACAATGCCGTTGAGTTGGTAAGTTTGTTATGGCATAGTAATTGAGATCAACTTAAGCTTTCCTCCAATATGCAGTATGATCAGCGCAGTAAGAAAACCTTCTTGCGGCGCACCAAAATGCCCGAGTTAACGCCTCGCGATTTCTTTGTGGGTTCCAAAATCAATGTGTTTGGACGGCCATTTGATATTGTGGACTATGCGGACGAAATATCTCGGAATACGTTGGCCAAATATCGCAAGCGGTAAGGCAACTTATTTCCATTGTATACAACTTATTGTAAATAAAAGCCTTGTTACAGCGGATTTGTGCTGCTCAAGAGCAGCATGTGGCCAAAGAACTTAGGCGAGTTTCTCACTACGCTCATTGACAATAAAATCAATATCAACAACGCTCAAATGGTTCAGTTTACACCGACAACTGTGACACAGTTCTTGGCCAGCAAGCAGGACGATGATGTGCACACCTCGTAAGCTTTCTAAATGCATTTAAAGAAAAACAAATTTACCTTAAAATCTGCCTCAACAAGTGTCTTGATGAACGAGCTGCTGGCTGGACCGGCCATTAGCTTGGAAGTCATAGGTGATAATGTGGTTGAGATTATATATGCCTGTTCAAAGTACAACACAGAGAAGGCCTCAACCAAAATTGTATTGTCGCCCAGCATGCAGCGCTTGTTTGAGCGGGAGGATGTGCGCTATGGTTTCTATTGCTCCGAGCGGGAAGAGAATGTGGCCAAGGACTTAAAGTTCTTCTTCGAGGAACGTCACAGTATTATCAAGGATTGCCAGTTCAAAAACACCACATTGGCCATCATAAAGCCTCATATAATCAAGGACGGATTTTTAGGTCAACTTTTAAAAGAAATCCTTTCATCTGGCTTTAAGATAACTGCCATGCGCATGCTGCTTATGGCGCGTGTGAACTGCGAGGAATTCTATGAAGTCTATCGCGGTGTCCTGCCTGAATTTATACCTATGGTGGCTCAGCTGGCGAGCGGAGTATGTATGTGCCTAGAGATAGCCAGTGAGGATCCAGAAAAGAATTCGCACCAGGAATTTCGCAGCTTTTGCGGTCCAATGGATCCAGAAATCGCCAAGCTGTTGCGTCCCCATACGCTGCGCTCCAAGTTCGGCAGTTCCAAAGTGCTGAATGGCATTCACTGCACCGATCTGCCGGACGATACAAACCTTGAATTGCAGTACATGTTCAAGATACTCGAATGATACCAATTACTTATATATATATATATATCTTCAGTTTATTCATTTGTCATTCGACCTAGGTGGTGTGTGTGCAAATAAATTACAAGTAATTATATTTAAATACTTATTTCACTTCTAGGCTGTGCAATCACCTATACTTTTAAAGGTTTTCAGCCAATACTACACACTTCCGCCCCGACTACTGGAGCTAGGTATATTGTCCGTCGCATTAGGCAGCAGCACAACCAAATCCCTTGTCTGGATATAGCCCTTGCGCTCCTGTAGTACATAGTCATAGGCCAGAAGGGTAAAAATTATAATGCAGACCAGCATTAGCACGGCATAGAACAAGTACTCGGCCTTTTGAGAGCTTAGAGCATCAAGTTGGGTCACTATTACAACGATGAGATTGCCAAAGGCATTATTTAAAAACCAAGCAGCTGTGACCACAGATTTCATGGATGACGGCGCCTGCGTGAACGCAAACTGTAAGCCCGGAATGGACAACAGCAGTTCACCTAGCATCAGCAGCAGGAACTGAGGCAGCTGCCAGGCAACGTTTATACTCTGAATAGGCGATTCCTATAAGAAAAGAACAACTATATTTAATGCCCAATTTGTAGCACTCATTGTGCACCCACCATAATGCGATCTTGTAGAATGCCGGCACAGAGAAATGCAGCAGCTGAACAAATGCCACCAAGGGTGACACTGTGCAGCGGCTTCAGCTCCCAGTTTAACAGTCGCCGCAAAATCGGAACTGTCACATATTGCCAAAGAGGAATGAGCATAAAGAGAAAGACAGGCCCAACGGCCTTGGCCTGATCCGGCTCAATGGTGACGCCCAGCACTGTCGTATTCATCATGGTTGCTTGAAAGGTCCAGCTGGAGTCCTGCTGTGCGAGCAGGGCAAAGTAAACGGGTAGTGGGATGAACAACTTGCTGATCTATAAAAATAATTGATGGACAATTGTGAGACCTAGCATAGGGAGGCGAGCACCGTCTTCTACTCACCCGCAACACCTTGGATACATCATTCACAAAATTCGCATCGTATGGCCCGATGGCATTTTGTAGCCAATAGTTGCATCGCTTGGCAGACTTGCGATTTCTCCACTTCTGCACCAATGCTGTCTTAATACAGCCACAGTACCTGAAGAGTATATTATCTCCAAATAGTTTCTCCTGCTTGTAAAAGCATTTGCCAATCAAAAAGATGACTGGAAAAAGCAAAGGTATATAAGCTGCTATAATGGAGATAAGGTTAGCCAACTACTTACTCCATGCGACCATGAAGGAACTGCCCAGCGTACCAAACACAGCCGGATAGCATGTCGTCTTATCGAAGCACTGCGTGTTGGCGCGCACCAGAGGTGGCAAAATTTTGCTCAAGAATATGCCGAAGTAGTAAACAAAATAATAGAAGGAGAAGTACTCGGCCAAATGGACTGCTTGTTCCGGCAGCTTAAACTGCAGCGCACCCAGCGATGTGATACACGCCCGTATAGATCCATTGCCCACCGCTATGAAGGAGATCGAGACCAGCAAACTGTAAGTAAGAAGAAACATTCATGCATACAGATAAATAAACGAAGGACTGGAAGACTGCTACTTACAAAGCCGTCACAGACATGCCCAAATATGGTACTGATGTCATCGTCAGCAATAACCAGCCAAAGCCATAGAGAAAACAAAATCCCGATATGGTCCGCACATTGCCCATATAGCTGTCCGCCAGCATAGCTCCAACAATTGGACAGAACTGTCCAAAGAAGTTAAAAATGTGCAACACAATCGTGGAGAAGCTTTCCGTGAAGTTAAGATCATCGCGCAAAAAGAGCACAAGGATCGCTGAAGAAAGAGTTCAAATATGTAAAATAAAACATCGGGACCTAGAAATCTCGGACAATTGAGTAATAAATATTAGTATGTCTATAATTTATGTAATACTGCAGATATCTTAAATTACAAATTACAGATTCATTTAGTAACTTGAAGCTGACTTGAAAAAGTAAAATTCGGTTAATTTGAAATATTTACTGTGTGTGAATTATATTATTATATATGTAAATAAGCAATAGTATTCGAAATGTAACAAACTTTGTTGATTATAATAACAATTTGATTTATATCCAATTGCTTGAAACAGAAACTGCTATTTACATAGCACATATTCCACCTGCGTAAACAATTTTTGGATTATTAAAGAATTTTCCATTAGCTTTTACTCTCAAGCCCTATTCACACAAAATATACATACATATATATAAAAGTATATACAAATATATATAGGCAAATATATATTTTTATTTATATTTATATATATCTCTCGAGCTGTTGCATCTCTTAATGAGACAAGGCCATGTGGTCATTCATATAAGCTATCAATAAGACCTCCCATTGTGCATGCGCTTCTGCTAGCTGATAAGCTAGACTTTTAGAATATTTCGACAATATAATGGAAGATTATTGTAAACGACCTAAGGCAACTGCATTGTACTGGTATAAACTGGGTCATATGCCTGCCCACATCTGTTCCACTTACTGCGCATGCCGTTTGCTGCAAAGGCCTCAAAGAACTTCGTAGCCAGTATAAAGCAGACGGCGCGTGGGTATTTGTATTCGAGGCGTATGTTGGATATGGGTGCAAATCCATAGTTGGGCAATGAGATGCGTGGCTTTCTTAGCTTCTCGCGCTCTCTAAAATCTGATAATGATTCAGCCGTACTCTGTGTGAGTTCCGCTAATGCAGGCAAAGCTGTAAAGCCAGGGAGATAAAAAGGTACAGAGACATTTGGTAGAATCTCTTAATAGTTGGATTATCTTATCGCTTGCAACTCACTTTCTTCGCTGCCGATTTCCGTGGCGCGGAACATTTTCCAGGTGCTTTGACCGCTGCTCAACCTAACGAACTAAACTGCGCCTCACAGTAAACGTTTCTCTGTCTATTTCTGTTGTCTTCGACTTGAGAGCTCAGGTTACCAACGCTGTGTCCGATTCGTTTACCTTGCGGCTTTTGTGGGTCGATTGTGGTTGAGGCTGTGCAGTCTGCCTGTTCGTTCGCTGCTCACCCACGCCGAGCGACAACCGTTGCGCAGTACAGCAGAGAAGCTACTAAGTGCCAAGATGTGTAGCCGGCGACTGTCTCGATTCGTCGACAGCGTAGACTGCGTGCACTCAAGAGCAAACATTGTGATAAAAGCAATAACAAAGCAAATGCATCTTAGCGACAACAATACGAATGCGGCAGGTTATCGCTGTGTTTGCAAGTCATGTGCCTGGGCCTCGCTAGTGATAAGGCCAAGCCGCGCTCAGTCAGGCAGAGCGAGTCACGGGACTAGCCCGGTGATAAGGATGCTGCACCGCTTAGTGATGCAGTCACAGTTCGTATTTTACAATGGATTTTTATTAAATTAGGCAGAAAAGTATTTAGCTCGGCAGACGAAACCAACTAGACAATTAAAACTAAACACGGATCTGGATGATACATCGATGAAATTCGCATTTGTAATTTGGTTGCATACAAAACGAGATGAAGGTAAAGCAACCAACAACCATTGCCGCGATACGCCCTCACACCAGTTTTTTGGCTTCGAAGAAACTCTTGAGATGACGCATCTGCCAGAATCCCATGCAGACGAGGACTACAGTCTGTGCCAACGACCACCAGAGGACACGCGAATTGGTGCTCTCGCTTGTGTGACGGAAACGTTCCTCTCGATAGCGCTGGTAGTTCTGCTCCTTGGTGATCTGTTCGACTTGGTCGAGCAACTGGCGAATGCGTAGCTGCAGTTCGGTTAGCTTCTCTTTTTGTGCCACATTGGCATAGTCGATAGCATGCTCGCCCACCTGAATATCGAGATGCACACGCAGCTGGGCTCCATTGAACCAGGCGGTGCTATTCGAGTACATGCAGATGACATGCTCGCCGGGCGTATGCGATGTGAACGAAATACGTCCCTGCGAGCTGTAGACGCGCGACAGAATCACTTTGTCATCACTGTCGCGCACCTCTACATGCATGCCAATGCCTGGTGAGGATGGCATGAAGCCATTGGAGCGGGGATCATAAAGTTCCACCTTGTACTTCACTGCAAAACAAAAATAGTTCTCACCCTCCATGCCAACAAGCAAATTATCATGTTGCTTACCAATTACAGTTGTCTCATCAGGAACCTCCTCAATGAAGCATTTGCGCTCCGTTTCCGATATGTGAAAGTATAGACCGCAGGCGCTATGCAGCGCACACAGCACCAGGGCAAGGCAGATCCATTGGTCTCGCATTTTTTGTAGAAATTCCACTTGAGCTTAAATTATTTGTATTATAAAAACTATGCTCGCCGACACGTCATGAGAAAAAGGCAAAGTGGCTACATTGACAAATACCCGTTTGACAGCAGCAAAAGAGCTGCCACTTGGCAATAAAAACACACACACGCACACATGTATTTTTATATAAAAGCATTACGGTTGAACATAACTGGCAACGCTGGCTAAACAGCTGTTGGTTTTGTTGACGTTTAACTTTTGGCATTTATGGTGCAATTTTGAATAAATAATGGACTTGATATTACTTTTTGGCATTGCAATTGCGTTGCTGGTGATCCTGATAACTCTTTATTTCCTGCAGAACAAGAATTCTAAGACAGGTATGTAATTTAAAATAAAAAACAAATAAATTTTGATATACCCTGCAACACTTTCCAATCAGAAACAAAGGCAGCTGCGCAACCTCAACGTGGCGTCCCACAGCGTGCTCAGGAGGGCGTGCCAAGGCGTGCTCAAATTGCGCGGAATCAGCGCAATCGTTTACGAGCGAATCAAAATGCTCCAGCGGCTGCAGCTGCAGTGGCTGCCCCTGCAGCCATAGACACTGATGATGACGAAGCGGCGGCAGCTGGTGACGAGAATGGGCCACGAGTGCCGCAGGGTGCTGTCCTGGATGAAAAGATGGGCGCGAAAAAAAGAGCAAAAATGGAGGCGAAGGAACAAAAACGTCTGCAGCGCGAGCAAGAGCTGCACGATCGTGAGCAGCGTAAGGTGAAAGAGGCCAAAGAAGATGCGGAGCGCAAGCAGCAGGAGGACCTCGACGCGGAAGTGGAACGCAAAAAAGTGGAGGCCGAACGACTGGCCAAGGAAGAGCGCGAACGCAAAGAGTACGAAGAATATCTTAAAATGAAGGCGGCGTTCAGCATCGAAGAGGAGGGATTCGAAGAAGGCGATGCTGATGAAAAGGAGAGTCTGCTAGCCGACTTCATACAGTATATCAAGGACAATAAAGTCGTTTTACTAGAAGACTTAGCCACAGCATTCAAATTGAAAACCCAGCAAGCCATCGAACGAATCCAAGAGCTGCAGGCAAATGGTACAATAACCGGCGTCATTGACGATCGCGGCAAATTTATCTACGTCTCAGAAGCGGAATTGGTGGCCGTGGCCAAGTTCATCAAGCAGCGAGGTCGTGTATCGATTGCCGAGCTGGCAGAAAGTAGTAATAACTTGATTAATTTAACGCCTGTTACAGCTGGTGAGGGTGGCGTAGAATGAGATTTGTTAACTATTTTGTATAAACTAAATATAGTTAAAAATTTTACAAAAAGTTATTTTCCGGACTAAATTGTTCTGTAAGCTCTGTGAAGGGAGAGATTGCTAGTAGATAGCCAAAGGTTTTAGAAGGTTTTTTAAGCTCAAGCGTGCAAAGTATAGTTGATGATGATCCATTTTGAGAGAGGTATGTAATTGGATTACAATCAAATTATCTTTAAGAACCGAAAGATCTACTTCATTCAATTACTCGGCTGTATCCGAGCGGGCTATTAAAATAGTCAAATTCACAGTTTTAAAGTCTAACGAAGTAAACAAGAATATTTAGCAATATATATTTTAAGGGTTATATTCGTAATAACAGTAGTTCGATAGGTTTATTTTTATACATTTCTACCCATAAGCGGGGTATACAATTTACAATTTAATTAAAGAAATTAGTAATTAAACTCATTGCATATCATCGTCATCGCAATCGTCCATATCCTCATCGTCGTCATCGTCCTCGTCACTTGTCACATCAGGATCAGAAGCTTGTGCTCTGCACTTGGGACACTGACATACGAATATATAATTTGCGCGTAACGTTTTATGCCTGGAATGGCGACTGCGTTCCAGCTGGCACTCATCCAAATACGAAATACATATCTCATCGCCCTTTTGTATTGGCGCCACAGCTTTCAATACGACAATGTCGTTGGAGTAGGGAAACGTGGACTGGGCGTTGGGCACACAACTGTGATTGATCTTGCTTTGTAATATGTACAAGCCGGAACCCTCATTGTTCAGGAATTCGCCAGCAACTGATTAAAAATTAGCAATATTATATTTTTTTGTATTAAAATGGAGTGGCGGTAACTTACAATCACCCACTTTCTCGTAGAGCTGGTCAATCACTTTGTCCAGGCTTTCCTTATCCCCATCAGGCAGCGGTAAGTCGGATACTTTGTTGACCCACTGGGCCAGAACGCTAGTGGCAATGCCTTGGCTATTGGTGCCCAATATGCCCATCAGGGTTTTGAAAGCATCCGGCGTAGTAAACTGTGAAGCAGATTGTACTTCTTAGAGCTGTATAAAACGCAAGCTTGAGGCGTCACTTGCCATCGCAAACTCCTCGCTCTTGAAAGCATTGCAAAAGGCTACATACAGTTGCTCCATTTGCTGCTCAAAGTTCTCGCCCAGCATCTTGTGGTAGATCTTCTGTTCTCGATTGACAATAAGTGCTTGAAACGATTGAAGTTGATCCAAAAATTCGGTCTTATTGCTGCTCTGTTGGTACATAGCCATCAAGCGTACAATCAGCATGATTGTGCCCGTCTCTGGCGGATAGTGCATCTTTTTCCAGGTTTCGTTTAGCACATTGATGGGATGTGTATCGTCGGACCGAAAGGCGCCCATGCAAGATACCCGATGATAGCGCTTCTGTGCTTCCACCAAACAGTCCTCCGAGCAATAGCGCACCTTGCAGCGTGCACACTGAGTGAATTGCGAAAACCAGGCAGCGGTAGGATCGTGCTCAACCAGGGGCACAGTGAGTGCTTGGTTGTTGGCCAAGCGTCGCACGTTTTCCAGCAATGTCTCCAGCTAGAAGTTATGTTAATAGCGAACAGTCAGCCAGTTGTTATTCGTACTTACGGGTCGCATACAATGGTCACAGGCTGCATAGCCATAGGCAACATTCCAAGAGAATTGATGCGACACGAATGGCTCCTCCTCGAAGATGACCTCATCGACAACAAAATTTTTTGTTGCTATCATGGCACGCCCCTTGCCTGGCAGCTCCTGTATCTCAAAATAGTTCATGTTGTCGCCAATCGCTTTGGTAATTTCGCATAAACAATTCTAGTTTAGAACTCTTTGAATATGCACGTGCAAGATGGTTTGTTGATTGTATATCGATATCGATAGCGTTAAGATTAATGATTGTTATATTGCAGCACTGTTGCAATCCATAACAATACGTATCGATACTGTGGTGAAGCAATTTTTTATATAGTAAACAAATTTATTGAAGCAACAACTTGGAAAATGGGCAACAACAGTGCAGGTATTAAAACTTTTTGGCATCTTGTTCCATGAAGCAGTTTACGATTTGGGCTTTAATTAACGTTGGTTAGTGATGAGCACATGTCGATTGTCTTAACATACCGATACTTGTACAATAGTATCGGAAAGAACGCGCCAAACATATATACTTCAAATGTTTTAAAGTGGCATCGCCTTTTAAGCAAGTGCTTAAATCTATAAAATACCTTATCAATAGTATTAGAATACAAAATTTCAATGCCAACTCAAAAACATCTTTAGACACTGTTAGTGGAAATAACAAAAATATAAATAAAATCTTCCCAGGCATTCCTTTTTCTTTATCAATGAATAAATTGAATACACCTTATATGTTTAATGGAAACAATTGTTTTTTATGACTTGTACTATGCTATTATATAATAATCAATTACATAATTTAAAATTTTAAGACATGCTAATGTAATTTGTTGATTTTGTTTTTGTTTTTCATGTGTTTTAAATATAATATATATAAACATTTTTGTTAACAGGTGTGTGTTGTGTTTTTAGTTGCTTTTCGTAAAATACATAATCATAATCATAATCATAATTATAGTTTATAATTGTAATCATATTTTCTCTCGTATATAATAACTTTTGCGCCTAACATCTAATAATATTCAAATATAAATTTTTCCACTCTGAATTTTTTATTGTTTATTTCCTTCTCGCTTGCACTCTTTGTGTTTATTTTTTTTTGGGTTTGCTTGTTTTTAAATTATTAAATTAATTCTTTATTCACTAACCAGCGCCATTTCGCGCGCCGTGGGCGTGGCCAACGACTGGCCGAGCGCCGAGGCAGCAGAAACGGCGCTGCTCAGCCCGTTGTCTCCGTCCCCATTGTCCGCTCGCGCCGCCGCAGCGATTGCGGCAACGGCTGCCTTTTTGCGCTCTACTTCCTGATCCTGATGTCGTACATCGTCATTGTCATCGTCTTCCTCATCGTCTTCGCCGCCTCCCCCATCATTGTCGGCTTGTTCATGCGCCTCATCGGCAAAGGACACTTCGGCTGGACTGTTATTGCTATCACCGTTTGACGTCGCTGTCGACGCCCCCGCCGCCAGCTCATGTTGATTATTATTGTTGGCTTTGTCTTCACTGGCGGACTTATTATCACTGTCAGCATCGCTCTTGGGCGCCGGCGTTGGCGCTGCCGTCGCGTCTTCCTCGGGTATGTCCTCGATAAGGCTGCGATTGCCAGAGCTGACTGCCGATGGACTACGCGGCGGTGCCGCTGTCGACTCCGACAACGACTCCGCCTCAGCTGCTCTGCGCAAGAGCACTGGATCAGAGGCACGTAGTGAGCTCTCGGAGCCACCGACTCCTTCGCCGCTTGGTCGCAGCACCAGATAGAGCAATATATCCGAGAGCGAGATAATGCCAATCACCTTGCGCTGATCATCGACAACGACCAGGCGATGCACCTCGGCGCGCACAATGCGCTCCATGATCGTATAGAGCGACTCATCCAGATTGCACTTTTGAACGCCTTCGAACCACTCGTTGCGATGCTCGTTCGCCTTGCGCAGCGAGACATCGAGATCGTTGTAGGTCTTCTCGGCAGCGAGATTCTATTGAAGAAAAAGTTTATTTTAAATTACTATGCTTAAATGCTTGACCAACTCCAATGTTCACTTACAATCACATCAAACTTGGCATAAATGTCAACGAGTCGTCCTTCAGAATCGACCAGCGGCAGCGCCGAGACACGTCGTTCCACGAACTTCTTGAGCGCTGTGATGATGCTTGTGCTCTCGTCGGCTGTCTCAATATTGTCGTAAGTGCCGATCTTCAGATCGCGCAAACTCTTCTTCATATATGCGGGCTTTGGTAATTCATTAATCTGCGAAAGACGGAGCAACATTATAATATGAGTTACTTGAATATCATTTATAACATATCATATATGTAAGATCAGTAGATCCATAAGGCTAGCTACTTTTGCTATATCAGATTGTCCCTGCTCTTTACACAACTGGGCAATATAAAAGATGTATGAAAGGGTGTTTAATCTGCATTATGTAATCTATATAGAACAGAGTATCGTACAGTCGGATGATTTCAAAGTGGTGTTTAAAGCGTATTTGTTTGCCAGTTTTGCATGATCTCAAACGAGATTTCTGACTGGAAAGTAAATTCGTTTCGATATATAAATGAATTCATTTGGCACCTGTTCGATTTGTTGTGGTCTATTTCTAATTTTTGTTGGTTCAGTATTAGCAGTAGTTAATGGATTTTACTCACATATAAAAACAGGAACCTCAGTATGCGTTTATGTGTCAATATGTACAAAACATTGCCATTCTCTGGATTTATCACCGGCAGGCGATGAATGCGGCTGTGTATGAGAATTTTGATGGCATCGTAGAGGGAAGCGTCTGGGCCGATGCTGACCAATGGCATTACCTGGTTATGTAGCACACCTGCAAATCGCAAACAGATAGAACGTTAGCATATATGGTCCCTAGAGAGATATGCAAAATTAATACTGACTGCGCCACGTGTCCAGTTTGTGCTCCTCCAGCTGCTCCATGGACGCATTGGGTGACTTATAATACATTTGCAAGATCTTTATGAAGTCTGTGATGGTGAGCATGCCCACAAACTGTTGCTTCTCCGAGTCCCAGAGCGGGGCCGCACGCACACCATTGTAGACCAGAGCATAGAAGGCCTTCTTCACCAGCAGCTGAGTGTCAAAGACAACCAACTTAGCGGAGGTGGGTATCAGATCGTAGCTCTTGTGAAAACGAAAGAACTTGACAAAGATCTGTGAATCGTCCTCCTCTGCAAAAGATAAAGGCAAAATAATGTTAGATTGCATTTAGTTTTAACTCGATTTACTATATCTCTATTTTTAACTACTCGGGCACCTTTGTTGAGCAGCTGGGCGAGCAGACGCTTCCAACCATCGGAGATCTGTTCGAACTCCTTAATGCTCTCCAATGGATAGTAGAGCACCTCACTGGGTCGACCGCTGCCGCCGAGCACCAAGCGGCCCGCATGATTCGAATAGAAATGCAGCTGTAACATGCGAGGAGCTGTGCTGCGGGGGCTAGCGGGTGGCTTGAGATGAGCCACAGCGACGCACCATCAGCTCAATGGAGACACTGTCAATTGACTGGAGCACTCACGCACGCACACACAGAATCGATTTGATTAAGCAACGCTAATTGAATGTTCAATTGGCCGTTAACAGCGGCTTAACAGCGACGCGCCCTTCCCAGCGCTTCTCACTGTTATGGAAACGTAAAACAAATGCACCAAAAACTAAATATTTATTTTCAATCGTGTTCTATTTGCACGACAGTTTAGCAACAGCGACAACTGATCAGATATAGTATTTATATATATATATATATATATATATATATATATATATATATATATATATATATATATATAGGTATAATATCTACTATAAGGTATATAGATATGTAAGTTAGCTATAAATTTGTTTTCCCTCTGCATTTCAATAAATTACGTTTAGACATTTTAATTAACATAAATTAAGCATTGCAATAAAAGCGTGTGGCGAGTGGCGAATTGACGAAGCGCTAGAATAGATCCTACAATTTCTGCAGACCCAAAATTCATTTAATCAAAATAATTGTCTACGACCATTTCACGCAATTGCCGTCGGTGGGGGAGCCCCCAAAAGGGGCGACATGCTCTATGTAAACGAATAAACATTGAGGCGTTCCGCTGGGTGTTAATCAAATAAATGTCTGTCATATATAGCTGAACGCTTATATGTCAACGACTGATAAATGCATAAAGCATACACAAATATATATATATATATATATATATTTTTTTTTTGAGCATTGTCTGAGCGCCCTATTTGAGAACATTGGTTAAATATTTGTGCCAAGAAATTAATTAACTCGCCCAAACATTGCCTGTGCCCCTCTGTCCCTAGGGGGCGAGAGTCTGCCCTACAAACAATCCGAAAATGTCCGAGAATGCGATATTATGATTTATGGCAAATGCTTTTCACTTTGAACTGATGATGATAAACTATTTGGAATATTGAAAATGCTCGCATTCTGAGCACTCAAATGGATCAATGTCAAATTAGCAGGCTTGGCACGCGTTTTTTAAACTGAAGATGCTTGACAAAAGTATTTTTAAATTTTAAAATATTATTTAACATCAATATCTCTTTTTTTATATTTAAAATATAACTTCTTTCCCAATTTCTTTGTTTATTCAAGGCATATTCTTTCTAATTCTAATTCTTATTATGATTCTAATTATTCCAATTATACTTATTCAATACGAAAACCAAAAATTTGGAATGTTTTGAATATTTATTTCTCTCTCTTATCAAGTAAAGTAGTCAAATATTTGGACTATCTTCAAAATTGTTTAATTTTAACTTGAATCCAAAACGAAATTATAAATATTTAAATTTTTTTATTTTAATTGAAATAAAACAAATTTTCAAGATTTAGAACAATTTATACAGTTCGATATTTCATTAGTAATTTCTCTCTAGACTGCTAATCTTAAACTTTTTTAATTTTCCTTTCACTTTTCGCCCTTTTCCAATTTGTTGGCGAAGCATTCATAAATTTAACTCATCTGCTTCATAATTTAATCTCCTACACATTTTTTGTGTTTATGCATATCTCATTTTGTCTTTGTTGTTGTTGTTGTTGTTTTTTAACAAATTATACGCCGTCCGCGCTGACAAAGCTGCCAAAAGACGAAGAAGCAGCAAAGTCTAAATAAAAAGCGAAGGTTGCTCGAGATAAACGATATAGAATAAGATATATATCTCAAATATAGCTCAGGCTATATAAATATGTTTCGATTTTTCTTCTTATTTTTATGGAGACTTCAAGTTTTGTTTAATTTTCTTATTATTTATTGAATGAGATAAAAAAAAACTGAAACAATGAAGAAGCAGATTGGAAAAAGGTGAAGGTTGTTCCCAGACGGGTGGGTGTGGTGTGTGCATTAGCATGTGTGTGTGTGTGTGTGTGTGTGTAGCTATAAATCTCTTTGGGTATTATCATTTAAACGTTTGTTGTTGTTGCTGTTCTTGCTGTTGCTATTCTGATTGATTTCTCTTCTATTTGTTTTATATCGTTTATTTTTTTGTTGTTTTCGCACAAGTTAATTAAAATGCTTCGCGTTCTTTTTCATTAATTCAGTGTTGTTGTTGTTGCTGTTTTTTAAACAATTGCAAAACGATTTCAATTGTGGCAGTTCTTCAGCTGGCGTCGCGGCCAGACGAATATTTCTATTCGTATTCGTATTCGTATTCGTAGTTTTCTTTTCTTTTCTAAAATTCTTCAACAGTGACTAATCTGCTGCTTAACCCACGGCGTTAGACCTTCAACTGCAGTGCATTGTGTATGCCCGATCGTTAGTTTCAGTTAAGTTCAACGTTTCGTTTATACTTTTATGATTCTGTGTTTTAAAGAATTGTGGGTAATATCTATTTTTCTTGTTGAACCGCGGCGCTTTGCTTGTTTATTTGTCGCCCGTCCAAACGTCTCGAGATTTTATCATAAACTGATTCAACAGTCTCTGTTGCTGTTTTTGTGTATTTCGCTTTTCCCATTGGTCGGAAAAGCGAAAAACTTTTTCGCGCAAAACAAAACACAAAAACAAGAAAGAATTTTCGAAATTTACGCTTCGCCGAATCTGTAATACTCTGCCAGGCATAGAGTATCGTTAGAGTGCATTTACTGCCCAAAAAGTGGAGATTCCAATAAGATCGGACTAGACGTTCTTATAAGAAAATGAACTTACAAATTTATAAATTGGGTAGGGTATATAAAGAACAATATGAACCTAACTAACTAAGAAAGAAGACGAGTTAAGTTGAGCTGGTTTAATAAAGTCAACGCGGATACTAAATACAATTCTTTCTATCTAACGAAGGGATTTACCTTGCTAAAGCATAAAATCTAAGCGCCAGAGAGAGAAGAAGACGCTTTGTATATTTATGTATATTGTGTATATTTATTTAAGATTAATTTCTAAATAAACAACCGAAAATTGCGGAACAAATTTTATAATCCACAACGGCAGATCCCTACCAGCTATCATATCGAATATGACGCTAATGATGTTCATGAAATGCATCGAATTGGCATCCGAATGCACAAATTTCAATGGGAAAATGCAAACGGACAAAGAAAGAGAAAAAGAGCGAGAGAATGAGAGAGATTTGTAGATAGATCATTGCGGGACGTACTTGGGAACTTATAATTAGCGCAAATGAAACCAAAAACATGGAGGTGTGTTCAGCATCTACGTCAACTAGATACGCCTTACTAATGGACTCACTATAATACACATTTAGTCAATGTATAACATATACATATAATTTAATATATGAACATGTTCGTCGCGTTGTAGAGCTTTATAACTCTATAATGTTTCTGCTGCCTACGCAATTTGGGTACTTTTAATCCCTGTGATATATGTTTTTGATTAAATCAAAAATACATATATATATACATATATAAATATATATTTATATAAATATAACACATATGTATTTTTATATATAATATATACATCTGTTCTTTGTGGTTAAATTGCGCGACGTGTGCCGACAGATAAATAAAAATATTGAGGCTCAGCCTCTTGACCAGCTGCCAAGTGTAGCTGCTAATTTATTTGATCGATATATGATTTTGTTTAACAATTTTCCTCGTGCATCCCCAACGGGGAATTCGTTTTATCGTTTACTTACCGAAATCCGATAGATTTACTTTGTCCAAGAAGGGATCGGCACGCGGTAACTGCAAAGAAGAAAGGCAAATTTCTTTAATAATTGAATAAATTTACAAGCGTTTCATTAGCAACTTTAATAATGTTAATGTTATAAGAGCTAATACGATAGTCTATTCGATATGACGTAATATATGTAAACCTCTGTTACTTAATATAACATTATTATGCTTAATATTAACAGCAATAACAGATGATGTAACGTAAGAGCTTAACATCAATATGTAAAACTGCACTGACATTTCAGTCTTACGTAACGATTCTTGTCTGTTACGTTTGACGAAAATGTACATTATTTTAACGTAAAGATAACGTAACGTTTACACTACATATAAGTAGGGGAAATCACACAAGTTTATTTACGTATTACACATGCATATGTAAACGTATTTGCTATTCCAGCGTATGTCTTAGGTTTGACTGCTTATACGCCGTATAATCACAAAATCAGATAAAAATGGTCGGATAAATTACTCAAATGGAACTCGTGCGCTAAGTGAACTAACAAATATGATTAGTTGACACTATTCAAGCAGCATCCATTATCATTTTCAAGGTACACTTTGCAGGCCGACTAAATAGTGTTTTATATTCGGGTCACACAATGACTGTCACACTATCAATTGGCCTATTATTTTTAAAGTGTATTTACATATGCGTGTGTATTTGTATGTGCATGTGTGTCTGTATCTTTATATGAATAAGCATGAGCAATTCTCCAAGACGTAATCGCGTAATCATAAAACAGCCGACGCAATCGCAGATAAAAGAATGCAAACTTCAATTTAATACTCATAAATTACTCTCTTTCACTCTCTTTCTGTCTCTCTTGCGCATTACATGCGTTTGTGTGGAACATATGTATATAGATGAAAAGTTTCATTTGAAATTAGCATTGAAATGTGCATTTGTGGAACATGTAGCAATCGTAAGTGCCATAAGCAAACAGTTTGCAATCTCTGTAAACAATTATAGAGTGAGCGAAACAGCGATAGAGGAAGAGAGAGCTTATGACGTGCTCTCGCTCTACGCTAAACCAGCTCTCAGCTGCTAAAAATGACCAAATGCGACGGACGCGTCAAGGCAATCAGATTGACACTGAGCGCAGCAAAAGCTGTTAGGCGAAATAAAGTGAATGAAAGATTTAAAACAAATGCCTAAAATTGTTGTAAATATGGGGAAAAACCAAATGCTCGAAAGCTTAGCTGTCAACCAAGTCTATATATCCCACCCTCACTCTTGCTCTCTCGTCACTTACGCTAATTTTTCGCCCTGTCTGCAGTTGTTGTTGCTGTCGCTTCCATTGCTCGATTTGTTCAATGCTGTAGTCGCTGCGTCGCCGCAAGAGCAGACACTGATGCACCGGCGCGGGTGATGAATGCCGCGGCGAATTGTGGGTGCTGTGGCTGCCACTGCGGCGCTGATAGACAAGTGATTGCTGCAGTCCAGTTGCAGCCAGTTCGTTGTGGCCACCTACCGGTGAATGACCTGCAGACAGACGCTTGCCGGGCAACAAGCCATTTGCAATATTGTTGCTATTGTTATTACGGTGCTGTTGCTGTTGCGGCGGCGGATGAAGCGGTTGTTGTTGTTGCTGTTGTTGTTGCTGCGGTTGTTGTTGCTGCTGTTGTTGCTGGTTCTTATTGCTGTTCATTGTTGCCTTGCGACGCATCAGCACTGCCGGCATAGCAGCCGACAGAGTTGCTGCCAGTTTTTTGCTATCTTTTTGTTTGACTTTTGTCTTGTTAGCGTTGTTGTTTGTGCTGGTACTGCTGCTGCTGCTGGAGCCGATGTTGTCATCGCGTCTGCTTACGTGCTGCGATTGGCGTTGACCATCCGTAAAATCTGTGAGATTTGCGCTATTCAGCAGCTGATAGTTTGCGCCGGCCGTGGTTCCGTTACTGGACAACAGTGTCGGTAGATGGCTGTAGCGCCTCTTTCTGTACAGCGGCGAATTGCTGAGAGAGCGCGCCTTGCGGGCAACCTTCGCGTGTAAACTGTCATAGCTGCCGCCTATGTTCTCGTAGTTTCTCTCTTTGCTGCTGCTGCTGTTATTGTTGTTGTCGCTGTCATTATCGGGCAGATTTGGGTCAAAGCGGACGCTCAATTTCCCATTATTGCTGTTGTGTAGTAATTTGGAAGCTGTCTGCTGTGGTAGACCCGCCGCTGCCACTGACACTGTCGCTGAGGGCAGCACACCAACGCGAGGTGTGCTCGACTCAAAGGCGGAATAGCGACGACGATACATGTGCAAATATACAAATACACGCGGACTTCAATAAATTCACTATACACACAAACACACACACGCACACTCACGCATGCACTGATAAAACGCGCTCGCGTGTAAAGGAAACAATGCGTATATATTGGAAAATTTGCAAGCGAGCGTTGCCTTTTGTGTTTGCTATTCTCGGTTCCGGGCACGTCTGCGCGCTCCCAAATGTAAACGTAAACTGGTTAACAGATTGTTCAGCGTTGCTGCCATATGATCGTCACATGTGTGTGCGGGTCTATGTGTGTTTGTGTGTGAGTGCTAAAGCTTAAGCAAACACATACACACGTACAAACAACGCAAAGAGAGGCCAATCTATGGCGTATCGAAGTTCAAACACTCTAAACCCAACGTCTCCATTATTCCGCTGAATATTTATCAATATTTATATAGTCAGCCCTAGTTATTAGTTCCCTCACCAACAGATTGATAGCGACAGCAGCGTGTGCTTAAATCTAAAATTAAATGTTATTAAATGAACCGAACTGCAATGCAGCAATAACAAATTACACTGCGATAATCATGTACTCTGCATATGCAAGTGTATCAACGAAAATAAAATAAACCAAAAAAACGCATGGCATTCGCTCGTTCGCATTCTTGAAGCTTCTTCTTCTTCTTTAAAAAAAACACACACAAATAGAGAGCGTGCACTTTAAAGAGAGCCCAAGTGCTAAGTGTTCGCCCACGTATAGGATAAGCAGTGGGCGAGTGCTAACAGAGCCATTACAGAAAGAAAGAGAGAGAGAGAGGGTGAGAGAAGTATATTAAGAAAAGAAGGCCGCAGTGAAAAGCTTCTTTTGTAAATATACTTCAGGCCGATAAACAAAGTAAACGTTGCTATAGATTGTAGACACAGAGAGCGAGAGAGAATTACATTTCAAATTCAGATTGAAATTCAGTTGGACTACGCATAAAGCAATCGCATATGAATTATGTGAAATACGCGCGATAATTAATCATAATTAGCAAAGACATAAACCCACAACCACACACACGCTCACCCACACGCGCACACATACATTTTACCAGCAGTTGTGTTGGGCTTTCTCCGCAGCTGACGTCAGGAACAAGCATAAAGAGAGGACTTTAGCAAAAATTCGTGCTAGCAGCGTAAAGTATCGTACTTGTCAATACATAGCGCAATAATAACAACAACAAAACCAGTTCCGCCTTAATGACCACGTTGCGGAGTGTGAAAAATTTGTAAACAAGGCATTCGTTGTAAGAATATTTAAGCCAATTACGTTGACCTTGTGGTTACGTCAACAACAATATAGAACATAGTGATCGGCGATAATGGTAAGGTTAATGACAATGCCCGTTAACTAGAGTAGCGCCCACTCAAGTTGATAAGAAAAAAAGTAAAATAAAATTATGACTAATTGTTTTTAGCCACTCAATGCTATTATTATCAGGAAAAACCATAACAAATGCTATTCGCAAAAAAAGCAATAAATTTTAAATCTACAGACCGCTTACATTAACAGCTGCTAAGCAGAAATGTTAACAGAAAATCTAATAATAAGCATTGCATACTCTAGGGCAGCAACAAAAATTCAACAAAGTTAAGCTTATTTAAAAAAAGCTTTAGTACTAAAGTCGCAGCTGACCTAACAGGGAAATTATGCTAGCGAATGAAAAGGGAAATGGGAATAGCGCACAATTGAATGCGGCATTAAGCTATTTGTCAATGTCAAACTAATATTGTGGTTAGACTGAAACAAGAAATTCTGAAAGGAATTTATATAAAAATGGTATTGCCAAAAATAATAAATACCAAATAATAAATGTAAATGAAAATATGCCACGAATTAGGGAAACACTGTTAGCGTATCTTAAGGGATTTTTAAAATCTAAGTTCTCTTTGCTTTCAAAATAGTGGTATTTTACAGTCTCTTAAGGTAAGATACATATGAACAATCTCTAAGGGTAAAAACTATTGAATTACCCAAAACTTCAATTATTTAGTAACTTTCTTTTGTTAAATTAGAGGATTACTTACACCTCTTGAGTCTCTGAAGAGTATGGCTGCATGGTGAGGATCTAGAGTGCCATCGCCGCGATAGCTGCGACCGGCTGCACCCACCGAAGCGCGTCGTTTCTCCAAATCCGCCGACGCGCGACGCATGTGAGCACCTAATAAAGAGAATAAATTCAATAGTTAGATATAAATATAAAGAAGAGAGCTTTAGAAGAGAACGTAAATTAAGACTAACTCTAGCTAGACAGCAAGTACCCAGAGAGAACCAATGTTACCTTCGTTGACTATGCGTTCATAGATCTTATAGGTCTCGCCGCAATCCTCCAAAATGCGATTGGCTCTCGAGAGCGTGTTAACGTCGAGACTCTTTGAGCGTGTGCGAAAGTTCTCCTGCGGATCGTTTTGTGGGGAGGTGCAAACACTTTGGGCATCATGATTCTTGCGCGGCCACACGTGCATCTTCTTGCCCAGAGTCTTGAGCATCTCCTGTATGGAGTGATGGTTGTGATGATGATGCTGATGGTGCTTATGCTTGTGGTGCACTTCCTTGTGGCCGGACTCCTGTTCGTCAATGCTGAGGCTCTTGGCAAAGGATGAGTTGTCGAAGCGTTGCCGCCCCACAGACACGTTCAGCGTGCCGCTGTCCATGCTGTAGACAGACTGACGCGATCCGCCGGCACTGTAGTCATCCATCGAGCTAGCTGCCGCGTTCACCCTGTGAAATATCGATATGGCAGTGGGTCGCTCCGAGCTGCGCTGCTGCCCGCTGGCGCCCGTGTGCGTGAAATACTGATGATCCGCTCCGCTCTCGTAAATGTCATCGAGATCGTGTGGAAAGTAGCCGCCCGATGGCTGCCCAGCAGGTGGTGAACCAAACTCAGGTGCGCCCCGACGCATGCTCTGCAAATAATACGTGCGTTTAAATGGGGCACATTGCCTCGACCTTCAATTGCAATGGAACCCTGCTTCAGTGACTGCAGCCCTTGTTTCTTTAGATCTATTTTAGCATCAAATCGATTCTAATAAAATTAATCGTCCGGAAAGATTTATCGATAAAGTAAATGTAATTGTAATCGATAACTAGTAAAAATATGCTTAGAATATAATTTTAATTGAAATTGACTTTATTTATATTTGAATTTAATATTCAATAGGCTACCAAAGTCTATCTCTACCTAATCTATTCAATTTCCAATTTAAACAAAAGCAATGCAGCTTAAACTGTCATCAGTTAACGATGAATCGTGACTTTGCTAGAGATGGACTTGACAGATTACGAACAAATTTGATTTCATGAGAAGTGAGCAATATCGTGTGCTGCAGTGCGAAACAGGGTCAATAGCAATGTTGATAAATTGATTGATCGTTGCTTACGCCATATATAGCCGGACTATGAGATCTTTCGAAGAAACTGCGCTTGGAGGAGGGTGTACGCTTCAAGCTGCCGCTGATGCCGGATCCGCTGGTGTAGCAGCTGTCGTAGGAGCTGCGCTGACCGCTCTGACCACCGCCGTTGGCCTGATGTAGCGGCGAGTTGTTGTAGTTGCTGTGCTGATGATGATGATTAGCCAGCGACTTGTGGGCATCAGGTACGGCTTGTGGCTGTGAGTGGCGCTCCGTCTGCCACTGGGAATAGGCGCTGCCTGTGACGCCGCCTAGCGCCGAATTGTTAGAGTTATTCGAATTGCTGCTGGAACTATTCGAGGAGGATTGCGTGCAGTACAGTGTGCGTTCCTGCAGAGAGGTGGATGGCTCGTACGAGTTTCTGGAGCTGTTCTGATTGGACCAACTGTCGGCGCTGCTGCTGCTGGCGCCATTTGCGCCGTTGACACTGCCAACGCTGATTTGCTTCTCCACAGCATGCTGCCGATAGAGATGGGAGATGCCGTGCATTTCGTTGCCGTTGTTACACTTTTATGGCGCAGTGTAAAAAAAATTTTATAGTTGTCAATTGCACCTTATGCGTTTGTCAAATATGCTTATTTACTTATGCTTTCTATATTTGCACTGTCACTCTCTTTCCACCTTCTCTCTCACTCTCTTTATCTTTCTCTTTTGTAAGTCACATAATCCTGGCACTGTAAATGAAAAGCACTCATCAGTTGTCGTTGTTGTTCTTCTAGCTTGCACTTGCACTTGTCAAAAAGCTTTTGTGCTTTTTACTCTTTGCCTCTCTATCACGCTTGGGAAAACGTCGTTAAGTTGAACGCACTCAAATTAAGTCAAAGCTGCAAACGATGGCGACGTCGACGCGTGTTTAGTTTATATATATACATTTTTTGTCGTATTAATATTATTTATATAAATGCGAGCACACGTCTATACGTGTGAGTGTCTTTAGTTATTGCTTTATTTGAGCTAGTTGTTAATATAATTACATTCGCTTAACAGCTACTATAACAGTTAATGCAAACATTTGCATTTGCTGTTAAGCGATTTAACAGAGACAACGTCAGCGGCCAGCGACTGCGCAACATGCACTTGAAAAAGTTCAACCCACCCCCAAAGGCCATCGTGTCAATGCGCGAGTAGCTTTTGTTTTGCATTGTTGCGGCTGCAGCAGCTGTTGCGCTCTTGTTCTGGGTTTGTTCTATACCGCGTACAGTTGAAAAGCCTCACACACAACCGTAGACGGCTAGCAAGTGACGCGATATTGCTTGTGACATTTTGGTCACCTGACTGACAGCCCCGCTGTATTTATATGCGTGCATACATATAGTAAAAGCTTGATTGAACGAACAACCAACCACGTTGCTTGAGTTGGCGTCGAATAAAGATATCGAATAATGGTAAATAAAGAATTAGTAATTTTAAAATATATAAATAAGATTGATCGATCGATTTCACTGTATTTTAACATTTCTATTAGCTGTGCTTGTTTGAAATTTCTAATATAACCAATTTCAAGCTGCTGTATTGACCTAAGCGCAATTGCCACTTAGGCGAGCTTTAATAAAGACATATTATAAACTGATAAACTCTCCCTAAAAAGCTGATAGTTTATATTTTCATGCACATCTGCTCGCGCTCTGCATGAATATCAACAAAAGCAACGTTGAAAAGAGACAAGAAAAGCGGCTACTGCGGCTGCCGTAGTTCTATTTTTATCATCAAAACGAAAATAATGTGTACAAGAATATGATAAATAACTAACATAAAAGACAATTTTAAGTTGCGAGCGCGTAATTACGTTTATTGATTACATTTTGGAGACGCACAGCAAAGCTGTTAAAATGTTTGCGCAATCGAGCGTAAGTTCAATTGAGGTTAAGTTGCAGCCAAGCAGCGCCTCTCACCCACAACCGCAACCGTAATCAAATTTGTGTAAATTAATGCGAATTATTGAGACGCTCATATATATATGCACGCACTCACACACACATACACATTAAATTCAATAGTAAGAACATACACAAACAGACGTCCGTTTGTCTAAAAATGCCAGCGCAGACTGAACATGCGAGAAAGAAAAAGAAACACTGTGTGCACGTGCAATACGTAAACAAGTGCCAGAGAGCGACTGTGAGGGAGAGCGAGTGGGAACAGCGCGTCAGCCTGTATGTATTATGGCGTAAAAGACATATTGGCTGGCAGCTGAATGATGCTGTCTGCTAACAGCGCACTGTTAAAAGTTAACAGCGTCGTGGCGCATTTACGGGTGGGTGGGTGATTGGTTTGTTTTCCTTTAGTGTTGTTTACATGGCGAACATGCCGTGGCCATCACCGTAATGAATAACACTTAATAACGACCTTGAGCAAACATAGTGCAATTAAATAAGCCATTTCCCCACTCGCAAATTGCAAATGCAAACGCAAATGCATTAACAGAGTGAAATACAAATGGAAGTGGATATGTTAAGTGCGCATTAAGCAGACTTTTGGTTTTCTCCATCGGAAAGCCTTTGGGAGCTGTTAACCTTTTTTTTGGAGAGGTCATAAATAAGCGCCCCATAAAGTAGCACAAAAATCTGCGAAAAAATACGCCGCAAACGACTAGAACGTGTCCTTTATTCCAGAGAAAGAGCAAGGCTACCAAGAGGGACAACGCATGCGCTGCTTGAAAGTGAAAGTATATAAAGCATGTATTTCGCAGCTATTTGTATATATACCTGTATGTATGTAAATACATACATATATTTTGCGTATATTAGCTTATAGCCATGCTGAAAACTCGAATTGCGCATTTAGGTCAAGTTGATGGAATATTTAAAGACTATCAGCAAATGCAAAATTAATAACTGATAAGTCTTATCAGAGCGCCGTCGCTTAACTTAGATAGACAGACCCCCACCAGACAGGAGCCCAGATAAGTCGGCCACTCTCAAATGCCATTGTTGTTATTGGGGTCTTAACTTGTCAGTAAATTGACAAAAAAAATCAACGTTTAATAAGGAACACTTAAAAAGTGTTTTTTTATTGGTCGTATAAAGAACAAGGCGGTGATAAGCGACTGCGAAATGCGCTGTTGAACGTCCTAAAACTAAAATCAATTGAAGAGATTCTACTTAATTAATTAATCTACTACATAATGATAGAAGACACATGGAAAAATATAAATAATGAATATCAACTTTTTGCGCAGTGTATAATAATTGCTTAAGAGCAAAATTATTGTTTAATTTTTTTTTTTTTTTTTGGCAAATATTTTCGGTTGAATATGAAACCGCACTGCTGACAGTGGTCAGCATTTACCTTGAACGTGATTGGGAATCGGATATGCTAATACATGTATGTATATGTATAAGCATATGTATATATATTTGTATATATGATCATTTTTGCCATAGTCTTGCGCCCCGCGTCATGAGCTGAACATGCGCCATGAGCATTGTTCCAGAATGTGCCCAGTTAGGCGAATTTTTGTAAAGTTTGCTTTCTGCGAGGCAGAAAACTCCAATTACAAATTTAAATTTTTGCTGATTTTTGTTTGGGAATCATAAACAAGTAACATATAAAGGTTGATATGGGTTCGATGACTCATCGCTGAATTCGAGCAATAATTATTTGTTTTAATTTATTGAAAAATATATTTTTTCTTCTGATAAGCAAATTTTTATATATGTATACATGTATAAATATTGATGTGATAATCTATATATAGGAAAACTTAATGTGTATTTCTCTATATTTAGACGGAATTTTCTGCACTGCAACC